ACTCTTTCCAAGGTCTGGAGGGAAATAAAACCCTTGCAAACTCCCCTGAGGCAGGATCTCTCCCTCTTCGGATCGCGCGGGGCCGAGCACCGGGCAGCACAGACACCCCACAGGGCCCGGGGGGTCTCTTTGAAGAGGGGAGGGAGCTGGTGGCCCCACCTCCAGGCAGGAGGAGGGTGTCCTCCTTCCCCAGCTGGGAGAGGCGTGATCCTGTGGTCAGCTTTCTAGCTTCCTCCCTTCCTCCCGGCTATTTGTAATCAGTTGCTTTTGATTTGTCATCTTCTTCAGAGAAAGGAAACTGCATACGACTCCGGGCCAACTACGGGACTTTCGCAGAAGGGACCTGCCGAGCCATCACCAGGAAACAGCCTCAGCAGCTGGGCTCAGAGCTTTTGGGAAATCAGAGGCTAAATTGAGCAGGCCCCACCCCAAGGTTCGATGCAGACCGGGCCGTATACCCGGCTGCACGTCCCACTGGTGTCAGGCGCGCACAAGGCCACTGTGCCCCAGTCCCTCATGTGCGCATCACTGATCCTAGTCCATTTGACAGGTGGGGAAACCGAGGCACCAACTAGATACAGGCCAGATTCTCGGTGGTATCCTGGCACATTAAAAAGGCACCGAGTTGGATTTTTGGAAAGCATCGGAGCCCAAATCCAGGCCGGGCCATGAATCATGGCCCTGCTATTCTCTGCTCCTCTCTTCGGGCACCTCTTTATTTTCCCAGCCGCAGGCGGAAGGCAGAGATCCATGGCTGCTCCCAGGGCATTTCTAGCAGCAAGTGCCCGACGCCTCCTGTGATCGCCTTTCCTGCCCGCACAGATCCAGCTGCAGGATCGTGGCCCTGCCCCAGAGCCTCCAACCCTTTGGGGATTTTATCTGATCCTACGTCACCCAAGGGACAGCAGCAGACGGCAATGGGCTGTCAGGAGACCACACTACAGCCCCTCATACCTGCAGAGAACAGCATTACAACCCAAGCAAAGCCTCTCTGTTCTTGGGGAACGAAGGCGGAAGTCTGGGCATTGGTGCGGACAAGGTACAAGGAGTCCAGTCCTCCTGGGCCTTGGATGCAACTCTGGCCAGGCCCAGCTGACTGCAAGGGTGGGAGGAAAGGCTCAGGGGACTGTCAGTGCTCTTCTTATTTCCATGCCGTGCCGCTGAGTTTTGTTAACGTCATCTAGGGGGTTTAGGCACACTGGCCCCATTGGACTCCAGAGGAGGTTTTGTGCCCCTACGGCACTTGGAAAATCTCAGCCCCAAGAGATTTGGGGCTTATGAGCACCCCTAAGCCCCAGGTCTTGCCAGGGTCCTGCAGCGGGGAGTTCTGCGGGTTCTCGCCCAGTCCGTTCAATGGGGTTTTGCTGCATCCAGTTCGCCAGACTCGGGGCTGCTCGGGTGCCCTTAGTGCCAGGTTCCCTGGGAGGCGGAAGATGCCTCGTTGTCTCTCTCTGTACTGGTTGTTCCAGCCCCCTCCTCATCTCACCCTCCATCCCTTGCCTGGCAGCGGCAGAGATACCCGACGCTTTACATCCGTTTTGCTAGATTGCTATCGTCCAGTGTCTGGCCCAGGCCCAGGAGGTGAGCAGCTCACACCCAGGCCAGGAGGGCCAAGCCTTCCCACTGAAAGCGGGTCCGAGGGTGCCAGGTGTGGGGAGAGGGTCACGGGGAGCAAGGGGCAGAGATGCGAGATGAGCAGGAAGCCCCCCATTAGCTCGCTGAGCCGAGGCGGGCACGGCTGCCTGGCTTCTCACTCGCCCGGGGCGCACGAGCGCCCCGCGGGTTGCCAGCCCCGCCACGTGGAAAACAACAGCTGCCGATTTCACGGCCGAGCGGGTTTCTGGGTTAGCCAGGCCACGGGCGCCTCCGCCGTCTCGTCAGGGCCCCATTTCATTACCAGAATCCCCCGGCGACACGATTCCCCCAGCACACAGCGCCCGACTGCACGTTAGGCTTAGGCCGTGTTAATCGGGTGCCAGGACCAGGCTCTGGGGGAAGCCCGTCACTGAGCCCCCCTTCTGCAGACCCCAGGAGCCACGGGGAAGCCTGTGCAGGCGGGACGGCCCGTCTGCCCCGCTCCTGCAGACCGGGGACGGCTGCTCCCCACCTCCCTTACCTGCCGGACACCTTGTTGCAAAGCTTCAGCCTCATCCCGAACCCTTGGGGGTCTCAGGATAGGTTCAGGCTCAGTTGGCACTGGGGGCACCAGTGTGTCGGGAGGCTCGTTGGATCATCCCCCCACACTGGTTTCCTTGCCCTGATGCACCCAAGCACTTCACACCACCCCGGTCCCTCCCTAGCTCTTACCCAGCAGCTTCTTCTTGAGAACAAAGATCAACAGAAATGGGCCCATGCCTTTCTCTCCTGAAAAGCTTGCAATTAAAGAATTGTTTTTTGCAAAATTCTCGTTGGTCTAATAAAAGATATCATCTCTACTACGAGTGAGCCCTGATTGCCTTTCTCCCTTGAATGTGTTTCTCGGCTTCCTTTTCCCGCCAGCCGTGCAGCTCTCGTCCCTCCAGGTTTCTCCTGGAAGACACAACAAAAGGCTGAGAAAATTTCATGCAAGTGAAAACCTGAAACCTGGGGCATGGAGAAAGGGCTTTTTGACCAGGCTCTTCGCTGTCACGGACTTCACCACCATCCACGGCAAGGGCCTGGCCAGCCTCGGGGAGGAAAGCTGCCTCTGGGAAAGTGCACACACTCTCACCTAGTAGGCCAGGAGCGGAGAAAGTCCCTGGTCTTTTCCTTGGAGCTCCTTAGCAAGACTTCCAGCAACAACTGAGAAGGCAAAACTGGGTCTTTCTGACCAGCCAGGGGAAAATCCTGCACTTTCTTTATATATCATCAAAAACACAAAATAGAAACCAAAAGGAAAGGGGATGAGCCCTCTGCCTTCGGTCGGTCACGTGTGGAGGGAGCGAGGGGACAACTTACCAGAAAGGTCTGATCGGGGCTTATTTTTAAGTAAAAAAAAAGAGGGCTCAGGTCCCAACAGCAGAACCTGGATTTCAAGCCCTGCGCTGCTTGGACCCAGGGGTCTGCATTCAGGTCGTGGCAGAGAAGCCGTAGGGTTGCAGGAGCGGAGTCAGCCTTCCCCCAAGGCTGAGTCATGTAGCGCCAGTCACACGGGGTTTGTGGCTGTGAAGAGCCAGAAGAGGCGATGCGGGCTGTCTCCCTCGTCCCCAAGAAGGAAGTTCTGCAGTGGAGGGAATGATGCTTTCCCGTCACAGAAGCGTCCCCCCATCACCCTGTACCACGCGGGGGGACCGCAGCTTGCCTTGCCAATGAAGCCCCTGCCTACAGACACCGGCGGACGCTGGATTTACCCCTGGCCGTGGGAAGTGGCCCTGGCTGGGGACGCATTCCCAGTTCCTGGCTCTTGCTGTGCTCTTGTCCCCCAGGTTTAAGGAGCTCTTGTTCTTGGGGCCTGACCTTAGCACATCCTCCAAATCAGTGCAGGTCCCTAGGACATGCCAGGACCAAGACAGACGGTAATGCTGCCTCCCGGCCCCTCTGTCCCAGCAAATGCCTGAGCCTGGGATGCAGATCAGCACGGCGAACCCGAGTCTAGTGCCCGGCCAACTCTAACCCCCCGGGGAAGCTGACTAGCAAGGTAAAGAGGTGCCAATGCTTTCCTCCTGAGTGAAGCTGCCCCTTGAAGGCAAGTCAGAGCCAGGCCCCTCACCAAAGCCCTTCGTAGGCCGCCAAAAACCGACAACTGGGGCTTTCGGCCACGTCACCCAGCCTCACCCAGCCTGCACTTTTTTTCCCTCCCCCGGTGGTGTCGTGACACTGACTGTACCGGCGGGGGAGGCTGAGAGGGCGGCTGCCCCGCAGGCCCATGCGTGCGCAGGCGAGTGTGAGCGCGAGTGCGAGTGGGTGGCTGAAACTGGCTGGATGAGCCCACGTGGCTGCCGCGAGGAACTGAGACTCCCTGCCTCGGCTGTTATGGGAGAGCGAGCCAGCGCCCAGCCGAGAAAATGAGAGGTCGGGAGCCAGAAGTCAGTCGGATCCACTGACTGGACGCGGCCCTAAACGTGTCTTGGTCCGTGCTACGAGGGCCACAGCCTTGCTCTGTTTCTGGCCCCGCCGCAGCCAGCCTCTCGGCTCCCCGGGGCACTCACACCCCTGCCTTTCCCAGCAAGGAAATCAAACTTCGCTGGAATCTGCCTCCTCCTAGGAGCCCAGCACAGGGCAGAGGGGAGGGAGGACAAAGGCTGGTGGAGCCGGACAGGGAGAAACTAGTGCCAGGGAAAAGATGCTCACAGGTCACCTCTCCTGCAGGGCAGCGACTGCTTGCAGCAAGCTTTAGACCGGTCTGCGTGTGTCTGCAGCACACAAACACACCTCGGTGCAGCTCTTTTCCCAGGCCCCAGCCCTTGGGGCCGGGTTTGGCTGGCAGCTGCGGAGGGCAGGGCTGTTTGCAATGCAGCCCGCTCTGTACACAGGCTTTGGGCGCGGTGGATGGTGGGAGGGCACCGGCACGGGATGGGGGTGGTTTTACTGCCAGACACAGTGGCGTGAGAAAGCGGGCATCCCTCCGTCCGTGAGCACGCGCCAGGGCCAGGCGAGGGGAGGCTTCAGCCCAGCTCCCACTTCCCCTCCGTTCAGCTGAGAACGCCTCACTCGGGACGGGAAGAGGCAGGCGGGACGCGAAGAGAAAGGGAAACCAGAAGGAGAGGGGCAAAGAGAAGGATGAGGGGAAACGGGGCTTTGGTGGGGGCAGATGTGCAGGGGCGGGGGCGCTGCCGGACGGGAAAAGCTAGCCTCACGCATAGAAAACTCCCAGGGCTTCTCCCAGCTTCACACTCCTGCACTTTCATTACGGAGGGGAAACAGGAACAGAGGCCGCAGCCCCGCAACAACCACTGGGTTCAGAGACGGACACTACTGCTTGGGCAACAACCCCGGTGCGGCAAGACTGGGGTCACAGCTGCGGGCGTGCGAGGGCCCCTTCGTCCCTGAAGCTCCTGGT